CAATTGTTTCTGATAATACACGACGATCAACGGAAACATTTTCGGACTGATTTCCCGACACTTCTATATTCAAATTTGGGTGAAGAGCTGGATTAGCCATGTTTTGGGACGTGTGTTGTTGTTTTCTAGTTTGAGACCTAGTTTGATGTTGCTTTGAACAAGAAGGTGTATTACGGTCCGTAGTAAGGTTACTTAGCGAACTGGCCTCGGTTGGATTCAGAGACTGCCTACACACGGGACAAATTCCTGCTGAGCCTACTTCTGTATTAAAACAAGCCTTATGAAAAGTATGGCCACAAGTTGTATTCAGAAGCTGAGTCTGATGAGCAATTACTTCAGAACAAATGAAGCAGTTTTGGTTAATATTGTCAACCAAAAGCAACCTTTCTGGACTGCGCGCTAAAGGCATTTTCTTTTTAATTTGTTCTATATAACGAATAAAATATACGATACTAATTAATAGCTATTCAAATCGATTCAAAATAAAAATATTCCAAAATTTGCACAGAAGATATTTGAAGCCATGCGATTGGTTTGCATTTATTAGGTATGTTAGAACCTTTATGTGTTTTCTTTGAACGACAATTTATGAAAGGTAAATAAAAGGAAAAATAAAGGAGGAGGGTCAACTAAACAGTAACACTATGCTGCCTATGTGGGGTAGTTTTCCACCCTATCCTACACACGCCTAGCAATGTATACTTTAGCTTAGCCGGATCCTGGTAGAAAGCTAGTTTGTTTAAGCACGTCTTTGGATTGAAAAGGCAAAAGACAACAATTCGATCACCTGACCGTTGCGATTCCAAACTGAAGCTCAGAAATGAAATTAAAAGAAAAAGTTGGGAGGGGATTGGTTGCCTAGGCGACGCACTTAATATTGAAAGTGAAGTAACTTCCATCATGCAACCGAAGGGTGAAGCTGTTCAACTGCTTGCGCCAATGGAATGGCCGTAGCTCAGTACTCCACGTAAAACCAATAGACAACATTGGCTCCCCAGTTTTGCAGCAGCACAAGGATTAAATGGCTTAAACAGTATTAGACAGCGGAGTCATTGCTATCTGAAGCTATGACATATCCAGCGAGTCTTGTCTAAACACATAAGATAATTGATATATTTTTAGCTATTTCAACAATTGTGAACAATATGCTAATTTCTTCAATCACTAGGACAAGGGAAGGACTAAAATATTCAACCAAGATAACAAAAAAGGTGGTCTGATGTTACTGACCTATCACTTAAGAGAATGGAACCAACGAGGGTAACGATTTGGCCAAAATCGTGACCAAAATTGGCCCTTGAGTTGGGCGCCAAATAACATTAATATATTATTAATTACTGTAGCATGCAACGTATATCGCTACTACTCTGGGCCGAGCTGATGGTGGGTGTAGCGGCTAAGCGGAGCACGCGCTTGTTCCGGCTACGGCGGTCGTCGGCAATATGGGGGTGGTTCTTCCTTATGGCCGCAGTGCTACCTGCTCGATCGCTAATATTTAATGCCATTAAAATTCGCGTGCTTTTATTTACTTTTTTTTTTTTTTTTTACTGATATTTTGTTTTTTGGTATGTCTGGAGGAAAGTATTAGAACGGAAAAGAAAGCGAGTACGGAAAAACTAAATTGTCGTTGTAAAGGGTTCTACCTCTGGTCTCTGCTGCGCTGCTGGTGTTGCGTCAGCAGGTTCGGTGCCCACCCTACCATGATCACCTTTGGCCGCAGGTCGAAACCGGTGATCCCTAATATTACCAGAACCTACGTCATAAACCCACCTCTCGTCATGGCTTCTAACAAATTACGACACGTTAAAACATCATGGTGTAACTATTCATTTAATTTAAATTTTGAATAAAATTCATTTAGATAACTATTCGTGGTGGTTAACCATACAATAAAAACAATTTCAACCTTGCTTATCAATTGTACAAATTCATATAAAGATGTATATAATGTAAAGGCAAATAATAAAATTTATAAAATAATAAAAATTATGGTTAACAATTTAAAAATTCAAAGGTATAGGTGCAGCATCAGGGCAAAATAATATGACTGGCAACTTTAAATAATTTAAAGGAACTTTTCCATATTCAAAATTAAATTCTTTTAATTAAAAATTTTTTGTAATTACTATAGACAGCAAGTGGCCTGCCGTATGCAGCGAACATATGACAAACAATATATTTATCGTAATAATAATTCATATATATATATATTGTTTGCCGGTTTGCAGCACTCGCGCATTCGCCCTCAAACACAAACAACAAAAAGGAAAAAAAAAGCTCTCTCAGAGAGGCGGAGTAAATAAGTAAAGCGAGTACTCACATTCACAGCTGGTGGATCCACGTCCAAAAGATCTTTTGTGAGCGGCGGCCAGCTGAAAAGCAGAACAATATTACGCGAGAGAGGCGGCGGCGTCAAAGCAAATTGCTGTACATTTTTTTTTTTTCCACTATATTGGTGGTGTTAAAACTTCTTTTCACTTTTGCCTTGCGCTAGCTCATATTTTGGCTTCTGCATATACATATGTAATATTTCACTAATTTGTATCGCAATATATGCACTATAACAAAAAAAAAAGAAAAATGACTTCACCGAAAAAAAAAATCCAAACCATAAAATAAAAGAATATATAACTATATATGAAATGGGTGTCGTCTGCGCCCTTTTTAAGGTTAGGGGACGGACCCTTAGCCAAATTTTGTCGCAGCTTCAGCTTCAAGCCGAATCTTCCACGTAGACCCGTGGCTGGCCCGTTTGACGCAAGTTATTAATTCCCTTTTCGGTGGCCCGAGGTCAATGACTCCACTGGGTGAAATCTCATAAGCAGCTGACTCGGCACACTACGACCGAAACTAAAAATTGAACGGCACGCGGCGACTGTCGTATATAAAGGCCGACGGTGAACTGTCGCCTATTTCATCAGGGTGACGGAGTCGGTGCAGAGCTTTTCGGGGGGTAGGCTGCACTTGTTCTAATACTTCGAACAAAATAGCAATTGTGCTTGAAACTGCACTTGTGCTTGATTTTGCACTTGTGGTGCCAATTCTAAATATAAGAGAGCCTTGTTACAAACAAAAAAACCAAATATATATATGATGCCAATAACCTACCCTAACTGGAACAGCACCACAAATTATGTGAACTAATTCCCTCGGTTCCGGGTGGGCTTCTATTGCTTCATTCGCTCGCTCTAAATTAGAATTACATTCCTACTAATCAACACATATGGAAATGGTGCAAAAAAAAGCAAAAAGTCAACACTAACCTTGTAAAATTTGCAGGCAAGACACAGACCACTTACTGGTAAATACGGCGCTTGGACAGTGACCGAATAAATAATTATATCTCTGGGCCACGTTCACCACAATATTACTTTTAAACAATCTGATATAAGTTAAACTTTTCCACTTATAATCGAGCTAAGCGCGCACAACTGTTCACTTCAGGGGTCGAAACCAAAAAGGAAGAGCTTGACCAACATCGAAGAAAGGAAACCTTTGTTTGCGGGAATTCCTCCTTTCTTCCGTCCTTTGACAACGAGTGTCATACCAAAAGAAATTCTTGATGACGTTACCACTTTCACTATCCACCAGAGGGCGATAAATCCTACGAAATAGGAACAACCAAACAGAAGAGAACCAAAATAACTCCTTTGCCTACTTCTGGGCTCAAAAAAAAAAAAGAATTGAAAAGCGGTTATGCTGCGCGAGGCAAGCGCACTACAGCCAATCAAAATTCGTGATCACTGAAAATTCCATCGAAACTGTGCGTGAATTCATCAAAAATCAGCCGAAATCATCATTGAAATTGTTGGAAATGGAATTGAACATCTCCAAAACATCGATTTATCGCATTTTGACCGAACATTTGGGCTTACGAAAGGTGTGTGCACGGTTTGTTCCGCACAAATTGACTGACGACGAAAAATTGCTCGACGCTTGTGGCCGATTATTTGACCAAAAATCACATTTGAACCATTAACCACTCGCCGTATTCACCTGATATGGCACCGTGCGACTTCTACCTTTTCGGAAAAATGCATTTGCCCATGAAAGGAAAGCGTTATGCAGACGTAGAGGCCATTCAAAAGACTTGCATCGGCATACTGGCGGCCATACCGGCCAACGAGCTAAAACACTCGTTCGACATGCTTTAGGATCGTGCAAAAAGCTGTATTGAAGCAGAAGGAGACTATTTTGAATAAAATAAATTGATTTTGCCGAAAAACCCATTTGTTCTGTTTTTGTTTTTAAAAGTCCTGTTTACTTTGGAACACATCTTGTATATAAAAATAGAAGTAGAATAGACACCGAAACTGCTCAACCGATTTTGATCAAATTTTGTTGGCAAAATTCAAAATAGTGGCTGATCCTGTTTTTTTTTTTTTTTTTCGATTTTTGTCTGTTTCTCTATCTGTCCGTATGTACACCTGGTTCTAAATAAAATATCTGCTCGTATCTTGGTCACATGAGCATACTTTGGCCAGATCTAGCGAGACACAATATCTAACGGTATTGCAAAAAATTTCCGGGCCATGAATGATCGGAAGTACCTAAAAATTAAAAAGCGGTTTCTCATAAAACATTCACTTAAAAAATTGATTATTTATTAATATTATTAAAATTATAATATTAATCAACACATATATTTTTTTTAAAAGAAAATCAGCTTTTCCTTTTCTTATCTATGGTTTGAAAATTTATATTCAAAATTTTCAACCAACTGAATTTGTATATTTCTTTTATTATTAATATTGTTGTACGGATTAATTCATAATTTAAAGAAAGCACAGCCATTATTCGGATCTATTTACAAAGTTTCAATTTGAAAATCTTTTTTATATAATAAAGAGTAAATTGTCGCTATGAAGAAATTTTCATTTGTGTATTGTTCGAAACGTGATGCTTGTCTACATAAGCAAGCATTGCATATTTTGAATACTCGTTTAAAAAATATATGTATTCATAAAGTATTGTGTAGTCTGCTTGAACAAGCTCCTGAAATGACCCTAAGATTTGCAGCAAATTTAAATTTTCTATTCACCGAAGCATCTGCATCAATAGCAGAAAAGATTTGTAAGGCCCACAAACATGGATTTAAATCAGTTGAGATTCCATATCCTAAGAACGAAACTGAGGAAGTGGTGCAAGCAACGAACGACACCGGCATTTGTGTCTCTCTAATAAATATTTCTTTAAATACAACATGCGATGAGTTTAAGTTCGGAACCACTAGCATACCTGGAGCAGAAAAATTATTCGAAGAGCAATTAGACGAAACAATTCAAATTGCAAAACTTGTCCATTGTAAGAAAATACACTTGATGGCAGGCATTATAGGGAATGGACCGAGCAAAGAACACTTTAAAGTCTTTACTTCAAATCTTAAAATTGCAGCAGATAGCTTAAAACAGCATAATATGGTGGGACTTATTGAACCCATCAATAAATATGCCATACCGAATTATTTTTTAGATTCGTACGAAAAAGCCGCTGTAGCTATTCAAGAAGTTTGCAGTGATAACATAAAACTAATGATGGATTTCTATCATCTTCAGCATATAAGGGGGAATGTAACCAACGCCTTAGAGGAATATAAACCTAATATTGGACATTTTCAAATAGCACAAGTGCCAAGCCGCAACGAGCCTGATACACGCGGAGAACTTAATTTTGGGTATATATTTGAAATGCTTTCAGAGTTCGACTATGACGATTGGATTGGGTGTGAATATAAACCAAAGTCCACAACCACAGAAGGTCTTAAATGGATTTCCAAATATGGACTTAAGCTTTAAGCTTAGTATTTATGTATGAAGATGAAGCTAAGTTTAATATATAAAAAAAATATTCACATACAAAGTAAAAAAGACTAATTGAATGAAAACTGCTTGATAGATTGGTTTATTATTTCTCCCATTGGATTTACATAATGCGTTATCAACCTCCTAAGGTTAACTATATTTTGCTTTACATCATTAAAAGCATATTTGGTTGTCTACATTGTAGAGTAGGAAACATGTTTAAGCTTTAAGCGCATTTGGTCGAGCACAGTCAAGTAGTGAAGTAGATCTAGTTTTAGTTTGGTTTCAATATCGGAAAGTTCGCCAAAAACTCTGCAATTAATGTACTTTGTAACCATGTGCTTTTAGTTAAGAAAATATATATACATATTCTAATATTAAAGTTGAAGTTTGTGATCTTGATTCAAGAACAAATGCAACAAATGATGACAAAAGTAATTTAAAATATGTTTTTGCTTCCTGCAGGGACTTGGGCATCTAAGTGGCTTTCCCATCAATTTTGATGCCTTGAAATATTTTCCGTTATATGTATTTCAAAATGCTTCTCTACTCGTTAAGCCTTTTCCCCAAACAATGTATATGCATACAATTGTTTTCAATTGAGAGCTTTGCCAGTTGCACAACAAACGGAAAGAGCAAGATCTACATAACAATAGTCTTAGTGAAAATATTTACCAAACAGTCCAATGCGGTGCTTCGACAAAAAGGCAATTTCATGAACAATACGAGTACAATCGAACTAAATGCAATAACCAAATTCAAGTTGGAAATGTGACGGAAATTGAAACCGAAGGCGTTGAAGTGATTTCGTCTCGCAAAAATTCAATTGCAAGACCCTAAAAAATACGTATATGCAGAGGCAGCTATGTATATATGTATTGTATTGCATTGCTTGACGAAACATGGCAGGCATGCAAAGTTGTTGCAGTTGTTGTTGTCAGTCAGTGGTTCATGGCATACGCGACACTTTCTGTAATTTTGCCGCTGGCCTCGCCTTCATACAATTTTTCCGCTGCATGCAATTTTAATGCGATTTTGGATTTGATTTGTAACCAAAAATAAGCCAAACAAACTTTTCTTTTTGGCAATACCACATAAAGTGGTTGTTAGTGTAGTTGTTGTGTGTGTGGCGCTTGTTAAGTGCAAATATAAATTCAACGGCGCCATAAAATACGAGTGCGGCATTGCCTGAACTCAGTCGGTTGTGAGGGTTGTGTGATGGTTGGGGGTGGGGCAGCAAATATTTATTTGTTGCAGCGCACAAATTTCATGCTGCATACTTTCATGCGCCGCTGCAACACAATGTAGCTCTCGACGACGCGGCCACATAAAACCTTCCGTTGCCATTCAAGTGGAAAAGTTTAAGCCAACTTTACAGTGCCGCTCAGCTCCCTGGCAGCCGCCACTCTTTTCGAACAATTCGAGCGCAAAATGCGAACCCGCTTGCGTTCTTAAAATCATTCAAAAGACGGCAGCGAAAGAAGTGTGAATAGGGTTGTGGGAGTTACGATGGCGCTGTATTGGTGTGGGTGTTGGTGCTGGTGCTGTGACGGCTGCGGTCGAGCCATTGGGCTACCCCAACAGCGATGCTTCAGTTGACTTGTGTAGTGGCTGTCACCGCAAATTTCTGTAGCTGCGGCAAAGCATGCCACGCTCTAAACTACTTGAGCGCCACTCGGCGATGTCGCCATCCTCCCTTCCCTGTGCGTTGTTGGCAGCGTCGTTTAAAAATGCCAATTATGGGCCTTGTCGGGGCTGCTGTTGGCCACTCGAAAGGAAATGCTGTGAAAATTATAAGTTTTTCCTCCAACTGCAGCATACTTTTTTGCGCCACGCATTAAGTATGCGCAGGGTTGCCCTTTTAAAATAATTGACAGGCCCAATATTACACAAATTTAAGTAATAATATAAATAATTATAATCAAACCTTAATAAATATTTATAAATATATATAATAGCTGGCCGTTTGGCAAATAAATTTCCCCCACCGAATCGGATTCGTTATTAGACATTTTTGTTATTTCTATAGGCTTTGTTCTATGTATTGTAAGTTTTTCATATAAAGCTTGTATTATACATCTTCTATTGCTATCAATTTGAATTAAGAGACTGATGAAAATAAATTTTACCAAATTATAGTTATATATATTATATATAGGCATTATAGTTAAGGAAAAATTATAAATATTTATATTGTATATGGAAATAGGTACAAGAATTACAAACAACTCTTCGAAAAAGGTAGCTACTTTTTAAATTTTTTTTAGATTAGACTCGAGTTTTGGGCTTATGAAATATTAAACAGCTGAGCTGCGTATAAAGTGTTTATTTTAATGATGCAGGAGGACCCATCGAGTGGTTTTATTTGTTGAAACTTTTTATTTCTATGAGTGAAATTTATAAGCTGCGAGGGTGAGCAAGCAGACTTCGAGATCAAAACAGGCCAGCAAAAGGCACATGTTATATATCACTCACTAAAAGTGTTAATAAAAAAAGTAAGTTAATTGAAATGGTGTTTTTTTTTTTAATTTGTAGTATGGTTTTGTAATGTGAAAGGGAACATCATCAGAAGTAAAAGCGTGGTCGGCGACGGCGTAAATGTCTGAACGACGGCCAAAAACTACCTCATTTGCTCTTTTACTGGCTGAGTTAGGTTTGCGGCTTACTTTATGTGACGACTTGCAATCTTTCACTCGGCACGTCGTCCACTCCTGGACAGCAACTTAATTTACGTTTTTGCGCCACAAACGCAAAACTTAATTAAAGTAACAACATGGTATACGCTGTGCGTTGGGTTAGCTGCAAAAGTGGACGACAGGCCACAAGGTAGGCAGACGTGCAACAAACAGCAAACGGAAGTTGTGCCGTTAGCTGCCCACCACTCCAACGTGGACGACTGTTGGACAGTGGTGCTGCCTTACGTGCACTGCTGGTCAAAGTTCAACGGTAGCATTCACTTTATGGTGCAAAATTTAAGTTCGCATAAAATGTGAGTCCTACAGCACTTGAAATAACTTGCACAACTCTTGCCCAAAATGGCAGCAAAGCCGCAAAACAATTGCAAACTCAATTAAATCTGAGCACCGCAGCGTCAGAGCGCTGGCCCTTAGCTACAGAGAAAACTCAGAGACCCAAAACTCACACCAAGACCCGAACTATGACAACTGAGGCTGCCGAGTATGTTGTCTGTGTTGGCGAGACAACGATGGTGTCTTTGGAGGACGCTTCCAATGTGTTGGTCAGTAGGTTTATGTGTATCCCAACATTCGTGATTAAGAAAATGAAATTTCCAAAAAATTTAAGAAAAAATGAACAAAATAGTAAAGATAGTATATATTTGTATACATAATATTATGAAATATTTTTTTTTTAATTTTTCAGAAATTTCACTATTTTATTTCACAATATTATTATTTAATTTTTTAGAAATTTCACTATCTTATTTCAAAATATTATTATTCAATTTTTCAGAAATTTCACAATTTAATTAAAGATTTGCCAGCGCTTAGGTACTTGGTATGAGAATCGCAGAGGAGGGCGGTCACAATATTTTTATTTAATTTTTCAGAAATTTCACTATTTAATTTTTTAGAAATTTCACTACTTAATTTCACAATAATATTATTTAATTTTTCAGAAATTTCACAATTTAATTCCCGATTTGCCATCGCTTAGGTACTTGGTATGAGAATCGCAGAGGAGGGCGGTCACAATATTTTTTTTGTAATTTATCAGAAATAATTATTAGTAGTTCCTTTAGAAACTTATGAGAGTGTCAAAACAGAAATAGTATATTGAAAATATGCTTATAATTGTAAGCAAAAATAATGAGCCCATTAAAGACTGGCAAGACCTGCTAGTTTTAAGTGTTGAAAGAAATATCAAAAAAATATTTACTTCGATAATGCCAAGCTCCGTTTCTATTAAAAGTTTCCGATAGTTGATATTTTGTAATGCAAATATTAGGAAAGCCAAGCTAGATGTCGTATATTGATGACAATCTTTGGTTCAAAAATATTTTGAATGTCACTTATTTAAAAAATATACTGATTCAGTATCAGAAGGTACTCATAATGAGAGAGTAGTTTCAGTTGATTGGGCATCAAAAAATCTTGTAATACAAGAAATGAAATTTGGGAGAAAAGTAGTCTTAAAACATAACATGTTTCGAAACCAGACTGTTTTTGATTTAGGTTACTTGGCCTCACTTACAGCAAAGATATTTTTTTAGCTATTATTTGAAAACATTACTTTCAATGGTCAGAAGTCAAACAAATAGTAATAGTACTCCGGAAAGCAAATATGCAAGTGGAGTTGAACAGTTATATGGCATCCAATAAAATATTTGTGAACTTGGTAGGAAGTTCGTATAAACTCGAAATGTGCTGGATAACACACGACAAAAGAGACTTTAAAAATTCCTTGTTGCCGTTTCAGTGCAAAACTTGTGCAGGATTAATGGACAGAGCCCAGGCGCAGTCAAGCTAGGCGAGCAATTAAAATGCAACAACAGCAAGAACACCAGCAGCAGCAGTAGCAGCAGCAGGAACAGCAAATGCAGCACGAGTGGGAGCAGTTGAAACAGCGGTTGTACGGAAATGGAGCAGAAAAATTGCTGTTACTTGGCAGCGTTTAAATTTCGCATGTGTGACAGGGCAGCGATGGTCATACAAGCTATGGCCACGTACTTTAAAAGTGGCTACCAAACAATAACAACAGCAACGCACAGCTTGCAACCATTGGCATAGCAGTGAGCTTCACACCCTGATCGCCCTCAGCCCCCTGTCCTGGCGTCCGTATCGTCCTTGTTGTCGTCGTCGCCGGCATCGTCGGCATCGTGAGCGTCGTTGTAGTTTTTGTCCGCAATAGCCAAAGACAAATAATGCAATTTCCTGACTAACTCATTTGGGGGTTGACTTCACCAGTAGTGTGGCAGTTTGCTGCACTCTCGTATCACTGACACTTTGCATCATGAGTGTATGTGTGTGTGCGAGTGTGTGTGTTTGTGTGAGTGTGTTTGCGTGCGTGTAAATAGTGAATGGCGTTGCCCGGCAAGCTCTTTTAACTATGTCGCACTCAGACATTTATTACCTAGGCAATCGAGTTTCCGGAAATGCTCAGCGGGCTTAGACAATTTAAGAGATCGAGAATTTTATAGTGTCTTGTGAAGAAGAGAAAGAAAGAGGGAGAGAGAGAAAGAGAGAGAGAGAGAGAGAGAGAGAGAGAGAGAAAAAGAGACCACTAGAAAAGGAAACAATATCAGACAAATCTCAGATATATTGTACAACTGATAGTAATGGAAGCATAAGAATAGCTAATGAATGCTTAAAAGGAAGCAACTGAAATAAGAGGAGAATTTAGAGTTGCTGTCAACAAATAGTACTCAGAAGTAGACTATCTGTTCTTCTCTTAGATTTAGCAACTGGTTTAAATATAGGAATAAGGTAAGAACATCTAAGCTGCTCTGGTTATAATCGGTCAAAAATGATTTATAAATACATATTCCAATAACTTCTACTTATGTCTGCCCTTACGTTATACATATGTCCACTGAACTTTATAAAAATTAATCATAAAATGTATAAATCACAGATAGATTGTACAATTGATAGTAATGGATGCATAAGAAAGCTAATGAACGCTTAAAAGATAGCAACCAAAATAAGTAAGATATAGAGTTGTTGTACCCAGAAGAAGGCTCTCTGTTCTTGTCTTATATTTAGCAACTGGTTTAAGTAAAGAACAAAGTATCAAAAAAAAAAAAAAAAAAAAAAAATCATCTAAGCTGCTCTAATTATAATCGGCCAAGAATGTTTCATAGATATACATATGCCAATAACTTCTACTTATTTCTGCCCTTACTGTTATACATTTGTCCATCGAACTTTATAAAAATTAATCATAAAATGTATAACAAAGCAACATTTACTTTCCAAAAATGTTCCAAAAATGCATTCCTAAAAAATTGTGGAGTATTCGGCTAGTTTTCTTAGGGAATGCCTCTGAGCGGGGGAAGATTTATAGGGAAAATTTTAGAAGTCAAATAAAAACAAATATGTAATAAGTATAATGATATCTTAAGGGACAATAATAGTGTTCGCTGATATAACAAATCTAATGGCAGCTGCCCAAGTATGTACCTGCTGTTTAAGATTGTATTCCACCGGTTCGACTTTTTCTTCAAATAAATTGAATGCACATGACCTGAAATAAGTAACGTCTAAAATTCTTAGCATTGCAATAGATTCTTGTCCCCCACTAGCCGGTGCCCAATAAAGTTCTTTCATCTCTGGGGGGGACTGCAATCACTGTGACCAGTGGCAGTGTTGCCATCGTTTCATGTTGCCTGTGGTTGCAAGACTAATGCGCTTCCACATCGAACTTTAAACTCATTTTTAACTTGTGGCTGAAAATGGGCGAACGACATACGCACAATCGCAAACGCAATCCAACAGCCACAAACACACTCACACACACACACACACACACATACTTTCGCAACTAGAGTTCAGTTTCATATGTCCTCTGACCGAGTATGTCTTGCATGCACTGTGTTTGTGCTCTGTAATTTGGAAGGGCATGTTGTTTGTTTTGCACCAAAATTTGTGGTGACAATTGTTTTGGAGCGACGTCGGCGACGACGACTATACACATGCGCACCCACACCCACACCCACACCTACACCCGCATATATATGTGTGTATATACGTGTATATATGGAGTGTGGCATCCACACGATGATGGCTGTTGCTTTGCAATTTCTTGCCAAAGTTTGCGCTTCTTGCATTGAAGTTTGTGCTGCCCTGTAATTTTGGTTTTGTTGCATGTTGCAGTGTGGGATGCCCAACCAATCTGTATTGTGACAAAACAAGATTTATTGTTTATTGATTTCACTGGCACGCGGTTGTTGTTATTGCTTACAATTGTGATTCTTAAATTTATGAGCAATTCAACGGCTCATCTCTATATATGTATATGTATTTATTTGGCTCCTTGAATATAATGACAATTCATAAATTAATTATTTTTCAATCAATTCAAAGTCAATTAAAGTTCAAGTCAAGCACTTTTTGATTAAAAATAGGGAAATACAAAGACGTATTACGCTTTGATTAAATGTAATAATTGAATGCTTGAATATAATCAGCCTGATTAAAATTCCTGACACTTGGGCTATTTTTCAGTCTGAACATTATCAATTCTGATATGTTAGATTAAATCTTGGCACTAGAAAATTTGATAAAAGTATTTTATTATTCGGTTACGCAGTCGCGTATGGTGCGCCATTCGTCCCATTCGAAACAGCCCATGTAGCCATCCTTCTCGACAAATGCTTTTCCAGACTCACAGGACAGCTCAATTGGGTCGGCACCCTCTTCTACGCATAACCAGAAATTTCCAATTGTCTTGCTGGGCTGCGGTTGATACAAATTAGCTCCCTCGCAGGGTCCCACTGTGATATCTTCGTTAACACAATTGGGACTCATTTCGTCAGCAGGTATGCAACCGGCAACGGTGCCATTATTTACAAAATAGGTATTCTTATCGCAGGACAAGGACTGCTTTTCACCATTGTAGCAGAAATTGAACTGATTTATGTCTGGATCGGCCCAAGCTTCGTTTTCCGACAAGCAGCCAGCAACTCCAGCCTCAGTGGTGATGCTTATCCCGGCGGTCGAAGTGATGTCGCTAGTACTCTGGGCCCAGATGTTGCCGGTCAAACCCAATAGACAGACGAGTGCTAGCAAGCCTGAAATATAATAATTTTAATTAAATTGTTTTAGCTTCACCCTGACTGCTCAATCTTCTCCAGCTTTCTCCGCTATATTTTCGCCCGTTTTCGGTTCTACAAATCCCCATAATCGGTAATGATTCACTAATCATCAACTCTTTTTGATAAGCACAATTGAAAGTACCTTTCAAGATATTATTTTGATTATGCTTCTTAGACTTTCTAACTAACGTGCTTGTCTCAGAAACAAAAAACGAACGGATGGCTTTATATCCTATTTCTGCTATAATTAGGAAAAACTTAACAAATTGAAAAAAATTCTGCTATCTCTCATTATATTTTTCACGCAATCGATGAAGACATTTCCACATTGAGGCAAATCTAGTCTACTTTTTTCTCTCCATTTCTCCACTCAAGATTGTCCACAATTTCAAAACAACACTAACAAACTGTGTTTTATTCATATAGTTGTATATGTATATTTTATAATAAATTTCAACAGGTATACTATACTTCATATTTTGTGTTATGTGGATATAGAATGAACTTTTGACTTTTTATCCTATTTAAGTACTATCATTACTAATACAATGATTATTAATGTTTTATTTTTTGGGTGTGGGGTATTGTTTCTGTAAGTTTTCATTTATATTATTATTCGAAATTGCTTGATAGTTAAATATTGTTTTTGAAATATGTATGATTGACATGCTGTTCAAGATCAATTTTTCCAATGGTGACTCTGTTATTTGTGCTGAACACTTATAGCGTAGGCTCAAAAATATTTCATATAGTAAATAAAGAGCTCTTAAAGGCATAGCATATTGTTAGCAATTTCTCTTGTTACTCCAAATTGTTCAAAAAATTTTATACACTTTGTATGCTACCGAGTTTTTATCACACACCTTTTGCCATGTTATTATGCTTTAACTGAACTTTCACTAAATTGAACAAAACCTTTCGCAGGCGTTACCAAAACAGACTAAATTGGATCTAAGCATGGCCCAATGAATTTATAACTTCTAGAGAATCAAATAAAAGACTTATCACCTACCCGCAAGTGCCTCAATATCTTTCCAATTCATTTCGATAAAGCTCTCAGATGCGTTTCCCAAAGGCCTCAGCGGGTTCGCTTATCAGAAGTGCGTTGCCAAAGTTACGCAGATAAGCGTTCATTAAATACAAATCAGCGCGTCTCCGCCTTAATTTTGATTTCGTTTTTTTTTTAATTGCTGTTTTATTATCTAGCCATATCACTGAAGTGTTTCTAGCAAAACGGAATTTGTTTATTTGTACGGTGCGTTCTTGGAATTGAAAAAAATGAGCTAAAGCATCTTCGGCGAGTACGCATATGCTAGGCTTAAAGTTTTAATTGAATTCCAGTGCCAGGCCAGACATTGATGGCAAGTCTATTGCAATTTATGTCGATTATGTTGTCAACTTTCGCAGACAACGGAGCGTGCGATCCTAAAAGTTTGCCTATTTAAACTTGGGGCGTAAATAGTCTGTGAAAGGAGGACAGCTAAGAAAAGGTAAGTCGACAAAAACTGTGGCTAAATTGACAACGTGTCTTAAGAGCAACAGCAACAGCAACAACAACAATGGCAACACTGGCAACAATGGAAGCAATGCACTGACTCTTGTTGAACTTTTACGGGTCACAAAGTGCGATTTGCCTTCCCCACGGCACAGGTGTACGAGTATGAGAAACTTTAGGCCGTGCTGTAAGCCAAATCAATAGGAACTTTGGACGCGGCTGAAACAGCTGCTCTTTGGCGGCCCTATTCACAGACACAAAAAGATGAGGTTTGTGCATTTGTCATACGACTTGTAATTGAGTTCTGCCCTGTTGTTGCAGCAAATATTTCTAATAAATTTTCCCATTGAAAGGCAATTAATGTTTATGGTATCTTTATGATAAGACAAACAGTCTGATACGTATTTGTTCTTCTACTTATTTGTCTTGCGAGCAGTAGTCAGCATTGAATATTATTAGTTTGTGAAGTCTGATTCACAGGCTTGTGTGAAATATTGCGAGGGAAGATAATAATTGGAACTGTTGTAAGAACATGCATTTACAGGAAGGCACAAAAGCATCTGTGATACAACTAAGTGATTCATTCTTCTCAATGAATGTTTATAGTGGTTACTAAAGGAGTGCTTGAGAAGTATTTCTTCTGCTTCACTACAGAGCCAGCATTAGTTCAATAATACTGAATAAATAAAAATACTGAAGATGAGAAAGATTATAAGAAAGCCACATGCAGATATAAAGCTCTATATTTGTAATGATTAATTAACACAGGAGACAATACATTCTGAAGTGTTTTGCCTTAAACATTATCATTCTTTAAAAGTGAACGATGATGGTTGCAGATAAAATAAATTAAAACAGCGTTTGTAATATGCCAAAATTTCGTGTGTATGTATTTTCTAAGACCAATTCTTTTATATATGAACTTGCTTACACATACATACATATATACTTTAACATGAATTTTATATCTTTATGGGCCAGGTACCCATATACACACATAGACACAATATTGTTGTAAATGTATTCAATTGGAACTATATTTAAGAATTGTGCCCGCTCATTCTAGCCTTCTTTTCATGTTTTGTCTAGAGCAAAAGAGAATTGTGGCCAAATTTTTAATTTATTATTAATTTTTTGTACTCGTCTGTCTAGTTTTAGACTAGATAGAATCTGTCTATATCTATATTTCTATAGCTAAGATTGATTTGCTTAAGAGCTGTACCAATTATAGAATACAACTCTTGATAGCTTATGAAATGTATTCTGTGAATTCCATTGTAGAATAAAAAGGACTTATTCTCTCTGATAATAAGATATTGATTTGCAATTGATAATGAATATGGTTGTTCATTTTTTTATTCTTTAAAATGTAATGAATTAGCTTTTAATATATTCAAAGCTTCCTTTCTCTGATCAGTTAAATAAATTTTATTGTTAAAATGTATGCTTGTAAGTCAATTTTAACTCTAATTACACTTGGTCGTGATTCGGGGCATAGCTAGCCGAATGGCAAATAAATTCCTCTTTTAAAAAAAATAAAAATATGTGTAAATGTGTAAATAAAGGGATTTAATCTACATATATTCCTACAAGTAGTTGGCAGAATCTTGAGACTTTGAATTAAACTTGCGTGTTCACAGTTTTTTAAATGAATATACCTATTTCTATTTTACTTTTTCAAACTTCTACTAGTAGTTTCTATTTCTATAAATAATCGAAAAGTGTAGAACAGCCCAGTAATTGTATTCAAAAATAGACACATAAAATATTCTATGAGCTATCTAATCAAATGAATTGGCACACGATTGGCACGAAAACAAAAGACCCGCTGCATGAACTCAAATGGTGAGTCTGCCTCATGGCGACGTCATGAGTTTATTTCAGTTCCGAACTTTAGAGTAATAATAGCGAAATGGTACGGTCATGATAAGACTCCCACACATAAGTACCTGTATGGCTAGAATCGGTATAAAAACCGATGCCAATGGGAACACATCAATCAGTCAGTCAGTCCATTTTGGTGCGTGCAGCGAAAGTCAAAGTCATAAAATAGTTGTGATATACTTATATACTATTGTTATATTATAACAGAGTCCTAAAAGGAGTGCAATAAAAAAAAAAAAACAAAACTATACAAAAACTAACGGATAAACTGAATACAAGTTATTAATAAACATAAATAAATAAAATGGCGAGCCTGATGAAATTATTTATGAAATATAAATGCAATATATATATCTCGCTGCTGTCTCTGCCACTGTTGCAGCTGCCAGCGCCAGCAGCAGGAACACTTCTTGCCACCAGCATTGACAGCAGCAAAAACAAAAGCAACAACAACGACAACAACAACAACAACAGCAGCAACTACAGCTACAAAATGAACACAGAATGCAAACATCCCACGGACATGTGGGGCGATCCGAATCCCAACATATTCTACGTTTGCAATGCGGCCGACCAAACGCCATTGCAACTACACTGCCCGGAGGGACGTGGATTTTTCGATGGCCTCGGCTTTAAGGGCTGTCTGCCATACGCGCATTGGCCTGCCTGCAGGCCCACGGCGGCCCAAGCGGCCGCACTGCTGGAGGTCGGCTGTGACAGCCCCAATCGCAGCCCCAGCTCCAGCGCCGACAACGATGGCGTTGATGATGACGATGCACACTTGCAACAGCCTTGGGCCACGTTGGATCCCAATAAATTCTACATGTGTCCGGGCATTGCGGCCACACCATTGCTGCTCAACTGTGCCGGGGGCAAGGGTTTCGTGCAAACGTCGGATATTGTGGGCTGTGCCGATTGGCTGCTCTGGCGCCAACACATGCAGTGCGAGAAATACTATTAAGTGGGTGGATAGGTGGGTGGCTGGGTGATGAAGCATTCGATGTGCTTGAACGCAGACTAAAATGCAGCAACAACAAATAGAGTATTTGCAACAACAACCAACTCGAATGTAATAATTTATTGTTTACCTTAGTTACATAGAATTATTTACCTATCGTAAGGCATGAGCCGCATAATCTGTCGTTGAATTGACAACACTAAGTATAAATAGAAATACAAAATGAAAATAAAGTAAAAATGAAATCTTTGTTTCATTGTGCAAATAATTGCAGCTCCAGACGGTTTGTTCATTTATAATTAAAATGGGAAAGTGTGCTGAAATTGAAACAACAAACTCATTAACCCAGAATTTGATAGCAAAGGCACAAGCTTCTTTTAAGATAAATCAAGTACTGAGAAGGTAAACATACATTTTTGTTCAACCGTAAAAAATCAGGAAATAGCTTTAATATTTAGGAAAAACTTATCTTTCAACTTAGACCAACTTTTGTCAGATTTAGACCAATTTAAGATCGAAAACTTTTTGATTTGTGTACGAAACGAAAATGTTTTTAAAACTGAGAAAGATTTGGTGTACGCAGAGAGTAAGAGGAAACTAAGCCAATGTAAGAAGTTTATTGTTTTTTCAAAATATCAGTTAAAAGGCTAGAATTTTAAATGCGTTCTAGTTTCGTTTGAATTTAAATTGTCAGCGAGTACATTTGCTCTAGTTTCAAGAGAAATTTCTGCAATTTTTGTTTCACATTGTAGTTAGACATTTTATCTACCAAGTACTTCTTATCTATTTAGTCACAGATACCTGTGTCATTTAAGATAAATAAGTGATTTTACAAAACACCATTTGTAAACCATATGACCGATAATATGTTGGCTAAAAGAGAGAGTGCCTGCCTACATACAAAGAATTTGATTTCGTTTTACAAAATTAGCTGAAAGTTTTCAGCAAGCTGTAGGTTGCACAGAATTAGAATTGGATAATACGCATAAGTTAATAGAAATAGATTTTAAATCATCAACTTAACTTATAACTTATATCGATTTTTCAAAAACAAATATCGCTGCGTTAGATTTAATTTGGTTTTGTCTTTTGTTGAGCAACTAAAGAATGGCCGATGCTGCTAGAGTTTTTGCTAGTCCCCTAACGCAGCCGATTAGTGTACTCGTGTGAGCTATCTGTACTCAATGCTTATCAAAGAGTTTGAGAATTGGATTTCTTGTGCGGCTCTTCCTACAACATTTTCGAAGATAAGCGAACGTGTGCCGATTAGCGTCCTCGTTTCAAGGCATTCGGCCAAGGTCATTGGGTTGGTCATTAAGTGCAGCAAAGAAGTGGTTACGTCCTTTTGGGGCCATTATCCTAACCAAGTTGTTGGGCAACAAGATCGGCAAGCCCGATATTTGGGTAGCTTTGCCACTGGATTGTCTACCTTACCTATTTATCTGAATAACACCTGCATATAAAGCTGGGATCTAGAATTTTAAAAAATGCGTAATTTTGTGTAATGTCATCATTTCGGTTATCAAAAGATCTTTGCCAGCACAGAGTGATTTCCCAAATTAAAAATAACTTTACGTTATTTCTATTACTTATCTATGATTTTCAGACAATTGCACTCGGAATTAAATTGTTTCGCTATTTAAAGCCCATTGCTTATCTAGAAAATAATGCTGTCATGTTTATTTCTGGTCAATTATTTGCAAGTATAAATTGAAGCAACAGCAATCGTGATGGCCGAGGCATGCGAAGAGTAAGTAAAGCAACATGCACCGGAGATACCCTTAGAGCGTTTCCAAACAAATGGGGACTGTAAAAGAGCCATAGACCGTTGCCTGTCTTTTGTTCTTGTATTTTATGCGGCATTCTTTCGATGGCGTTGAATGATGCGGCTGCCAAGGTAGCTCTCACTCATAATGCTGGCAGACCTTTTATGTGGCATTGCCTCTTGCGTGTTGCATGCTGTGGTCGGACAGCATGCCGGCGGACCCAGGCTCGACCCCTGTTCGTCGCCTGACAAGCGCTTTGATGCGCCTTTTTTACTTTGTCATCCTTTATGTGCATGCAGTTTTCTATGCAAGCGACCCTTAACCACTTTTTTTTGCATGTGTGTGTGTGTATCTGTGTGCATGTGTTTTACAGTTTCATTTACAGTTATGAGCGAACAGCCATATAACATGGCTCAGGTATGGGCCACGTAAACGTGCAGTCAGTACAATATGTATAAAAAAAATGTGCTTTATCGGAAATTACATTTTGCTTTGAGATCGTCCAGCTGCAGGAAATTACTGTCGATGGTGGCAGGCGGCAGGCGGAAGGTGATGGGTGGCAGCTGGCCCAAGGACTTTCATGCACATATACATGCTTTAAAACATAAATCCTGAATTTGCACAGCCTCATGTGTTCGACAGGGGGTCGGGGTGCCATTAATCAGAGCCCAAGAGCAATGGCAGTACTACGTATACGTAATTTTAATTACGCCATACGATAAGAGTGTTAAGTGTTTAGTTGAAATCATTGGCATACAAAGAACGAAATTCAGCCAGACAAGCTCTGATTTAATTAAATGTTGTGCACAATTCAATTGAAGCGCCTTCCTGTGAAGCATCCGAGTTACCGGACCATCTTTTATCAGCACTTGCAATCAGTAAAATAATTACCCAATCGCCAATTGTGAGACCCTTGAAGCTGGCAAACGATCTGACAATGAAAATGGCATCAGTTGCGCAACGGGTGGGTGCATTGTGGGTGGCCGGGAAGGCACACTAAGTGGTCGTGGCACAAGAATCACGTTAAATTGCGCATTATTTTTGTTTGGATTTATTTTTATACATTTTATTGTATCCCACTAACCGTTATTGAGATTTATTGCGCTGGTCAAGCGGACCGGAGACGGTAGACCTGCTGTGTTGGGGTGATTACTGTGGCAGTAACTGAGTAGATATTTTAAATGTGTGCTGGTTGGCTGTGCAAAGGTGAATGTTAAATTTATGGAAAATATAAAGTAATGGAGATGTAAATGAAAAAGTGCTCTCGTCACACCTAAGGGGATACTATGAAATATGCATATATAAGCTACTTTTTCTAAAGAATGCTATCAAACATTACAGACGCTTTAAAACTGCAAGTAATTTTTAAAGTCATGAATCATATACTCAGGAACGAACTCACATTTTGGGGGCTTCTGTTGGCTCGTTGAGGTATACCAGCCTCCATTTTATTATTAGTATTTCATATAACTAGAGAGCTTTCTCATCACAAAAATAGAGCCATTTTCGAAGGCAAATATGGGCGTTCGCTTATTTCTCTAGAGCTACAATTTAAGTTCAATTATCTTTTTAATGTCACAATTTAAATAAAATGAATGAAGTTGAAGAACACATCCCAGACTTATCTGGTACAAGGTACGTTTTTGAAAAGCCCCCGTATCGAGTTCTCAAAACGTTTCCCATTTTCGGAATGTGGAATAGGCGAAATATAAAGGAGCAAATATATTTTGAGAAAAACATTTTAAAGCTAGCAAGAACACATCCTATACATATCTAGTGTTAAGTATGTTTTGAAAAGCACCCGCTTGGAATTCCCGAAACCTTGGGAATTTTCGGAATGTGAAACAGGCTTTGGATACCATTGAGTATAACAATTAAACTGTTGAAGTAAAGAAAATCTTTCATCTTTAATTTCGCTTAATCTGATTACTTCCACGGCAGTATGCTGGCAGCTTTTTAATTAATTGATTCATCAGAAAAGTCTGATTAAGTCACAAGCAGCCCTGAAAACTTTGCCGGCGTGCTGTGGACAACTTTCTCATGCAAAAGCCGAGCTGGACTGGCCTGACTTGGCCTAGCATCGCTTCATCAATGAGTACGACGCCATGGAGTCAGACATAACCACAGGACAATTCAATTAGTAGTTCGGGGAACAGGTTGCTGACAAACAAGTACTTTGTAAATGACAGACTAGTGCGTCTGTGTGTGTGTGTGTGTGTGTGAGAGATTCTGTGTAGGTGTAAGTAAGCTGGCTCATTTGACACCATGAAATTGAGTGAGTGGCCAACGCCACAGTTGCCGCCGCAGGACTTGGTGCTCTGCTCCTGTTTCCGTCCCTATATCTTTCCAATCGAAGGCACCAGCACACAATTTGTGTGCTGAATAAATGAAAGGACGTATATGAGTTATCATTTCAGGCACGATGATTTATGCAGTCGACAGTCGGCAGGAGATGTCGATCTACCCTATCTCTATATACTTGTATAAGGTCGAATGCAGTTAAAGGCGCTGAGGCGGCAGAAACTTGCATGCCATGTGGCTGTTGAGATAAAAATTAATTGGCAAGTGCAGTGCGCAAATAAATTGCATGGCCAGGCTGACACACGTACATACACACTACCACATACACGTATAACTGTACAATCACACACAAGCACACACACACATATTTCTCCAGTTGGCGTGCCTTGCTTTTAATGTAAATGTGACAAATGTTTTACAGCTGGCTGCATCGACTCTTGTTGACTCTGAGCAAACACCTGTAAATGGGTTTATGCCATGGCACACACACACACACACACACTCACACACACACACACACACACACACACACACACACACACACACACACACATAAAGTCGGGCACTCTCACATCGGCTTGTTTGCATTTTACGCATATTTTCCCCTCAACGCTGCTGGCCTTGGCAAAATGTGGCAGGGCCCCTGATGCATTGGCTAATCATTTGCTGCAATGTTAGTTCTTGTTGTTTTTCCATATGGGATTTACACGTATAGTGCCACCCCATGTAAATACGTGTGTGTGTGTGTGTGTGTGTGTGTGTGTCTGTTTAGAGTGCTGTTAATTAATTGCAGCTTTAAGCAGCGTCATCTTTAAAGGTTAGACTGACAATTTTTATGCAGCTTGTTTCGCAGCATCAAATAGTATATCGCCACGGATCAATAATGTGGCGCCTGCGGTAATGCTGGCGCAATCAAGCGACCGGATGGCAACACGG